GTCGTTGCTGGTCCTAAAGACTCTGGAAAAACGTCTTGGGCGAGCGTCTTCCATCGCATTATCCCTGCCGAAAGTATTGCTTCCATAACCAACGAACGTCAGTTTTCAGCGTCCATGGTAACAGACGACACGCAACTGGTGATCGTAGACGATTGGTCTCCAAACACAATGCAGTCCGACCTTGCAAAAACCATACTCCAAGGTGGTTGGATGGTTACGGCTGTTAAACACGGTGAACCGAGACGAGTTATGAACAACAGTCCCTATTATATAACGACCAACAACGTTCCTGACTTTCGTGATGAGAACGAGAACGTTGAAAGGAGAATCCAGGTGTTCAACACAACATCTTTACCCTCGACGACACCTGGTATAGATCGGTGGATCTACGATAACGCCATGGATTGCATCGTGTGGATTGCTGAACAACTAGAAGCACACTATCAACACATCGCTAAGGATGAATTGTGGTACGAGCCAACCGTCACGAGAAACCTCACCATACCGAACAACGAAGGCCCCTCCCTTTTCCAACTCCATCATGTTCGTGATATCTGCCCTGCCGACTTCGAAGACGCAAATACATCCACGCTAGAAACCACGCCCACCATCCATGAAAGGTTCGTTCAGGAATATCGCACCCAACACTGAGGGAAGAAGACGACGTGCACGTGGTTGTATAATGGACACGGACGAAGATAACATTTTGGACAATTGGGAAAATCCACCCTCATCTGGTAGCGAAATGTCCAGAAATGGCGGTATTGTCCAGACGCAACCAACAGCAAATGCAATCGGCGAGCTCGATATTCACGTACAGCCATCAATGCCCACTACACACGAAAGCCGACACGACCAAGAAACAGATATTCACGCACAGCGATCAGCCTCCACTACACCAGAAGCAGCGAACGAGCAGGAAACAGATCTTAACGCACAGCCATCAGCCTCCACTACACACGAAGCGGCACACGACCAAGAAACAGATCTTAACGCACAGCCATCAGCCTCCACTACACACGAAGCGGCACACGACCAAGAAACAGATCTTCACGCACAGCCATCAGCGTCCATTACACACGAAGCGGCACACGACCAAGAAACAGATCTTAACGCACAGCCATCAGCGTCCACTACACACGAAGCGGCACACGACCAAGACACAGATTTTCAAGCACATCCATCAGCCTCCACTACACACGAAGCGGCACACGACCAAGAAACAGATCTTCACGCACAGCCATCAGCGTCGACTACACCAGAAGCAGCGAACGACCAAGAAAAAGGGAACGATCCTGAAGCAAGTCGTGCACCAACTTCGCTAGATAGTCCCACACCACCTGCAGATCTAGATCATCTGATATCAGCTCCACCAGAAGGTTGGCAACTCAATTCTAAAACTTATTTTCAGAAGGTAGCACATCTGATCAAATGGTGCTTCAACAAAAAAGAAGTGAGAAAGGCACACGTCCACCATTACCAAGAACGCCTGAGAAAGGCAGAACTACGACGAACACCTGAAGAACGGAATTACTGGGTGGTTCCTGATCCAACAATTGATGCCTCCATGCTGATGTTGGGACGGCAGCGAGAGATTTTTAACATGGAAGGATTTGCTCGTGCATTTCCACAAACAAGTGCTCATTTAGAAAATCTGCGGAAAAATGCAAATGTTCGGGTGATGCGAGACCGTTGTCCATTTTCCCTAGCGGTGCAAGCCCTCAGAGTGAAGAGCGGAGAAGCGGAGGAAGAAGTTGAAGAAGAACAGGAATTAGACAGGGACGGAGATCCTGCAAATCCGCCACTAAGTTCCCAAACGTATTGGACTAAAATTAAGACTTGGCGGCCATGGTAGAAATAAACGTTCTGTACAGATCAGTTTCTTTCAGATTTTTGTTCTGTTGTAACAAAATTTTACAATGCTGTAGAGATAAATTATAGTGACATGAACGAATTTATTTAGAGTCGATTAATATTTTGATTTATATCATTATACTATTTAAATTTGTGATTTACAGGTGACCAGAAAATTAGAATTCCTTCGAAAACATTTCTCGGCACAAATTTGATTTGAAAAGTTAAACTTTTATTGCCAGTAAATACTTGGATGTTAAAATAAAACATTGGAGATTCTTTGTCTTTACGTAATATACTACAATACAAACACATACGTACACACTAGTTTAATAATGTCGAAATATTATGTTCTAATTTTCTGAGATGCACCTATAATATATTGTATATATGCTTGCGTTATTATTATTGACAAGAAGTTCAATGTTTCGTGTTCATATTAATTAATTTGACAATGGCTTTATTCTTAAACCAGAACGAGTAAATACTGTTGAAACGTTGAACTAAGCGAAACTCAGCAACAACGTTTACGTATGTGAATAAAAAATTATTGTAGTAATGCAAAATATGCTTCAAATATAAAGTGATATATGAAATTAAACAACAGTTCAATTTTCCTCAAAACTGACCGGCTACCAATATAATTCCAATACCTCTTATAGGTAGCCGGGCGTTGAATTTTCTCTAAGTGTTGTTTAAGCTATAGTCAGAATTAGAAAATTTGTTGCAAAATATTTCAAGTCTTTTTCAAAAGCGAACCTTTGAAAAAGACTTGGAAAAATTTCAACCACCGGCTACCGAGCTTTGGTAGCCGGGCGTTGATTTTTTCTAAGTGTCGAGCGAATTTAGTTTCTCTCAAATCTGACCGGCTACCGGCTACCAATATAATTTCCAATTAAAAGCACCGGCTACCGACCGGCTACCAGTCAAAATCACCGGCTATCTCATATAGGTAGCCGGGCGTTGATTTTTTTTCTAAGTGTCCTTTAAACTATAGTCAGAATTAGAAAATTTGTTGGAAAGTCTTTTGTAAGTGAACGTTTGCCAAGTTTTTTCTCAAACGCTCAGTTACAAAATTTTCAAATTCTCACTATAGTTTAAACGACACTTTGGAAAAAATCAATGCCCGGCTACCAATGCTCGGTAGCCGGTGGTTGAAATTTTTCCAAAGATTCACTTACAAAAGACTTAGAATATTTTCCAACAAACTTTCTAATTCTCACTATAGTTTAAAGGACACTTAGAAAAAAAATCAACGCCCGGCTACCTATAAGAGGTAGCCGGTCATTTTGACTGGTAGCCGGTCGGTAGCCGGTGCTTTTAATTGGAAATTATATTGGTAGCTGGTAGCCGGTCAGATTTGAGGGAAACTAAATTCGCTCGACACTTAGAAAAAAATCAACGCCCGGCTACCAACGCTCGGTAGCCGGTGGTTGAAATTTTTCCAAAGATTCACTTACAAAACACTTAGAATATTTTCCAACAAACTTTCTAATTCTCACTATAGTTTAAACTACACTTAGAAAAAAAATCAACGCCCGGCTACCTATAAGAGGTAGCCGGTCATTTTGACTGGTAGCCGGTCGGTAGCCGGTGCTTTTAATTGGAAATTATATTGGTAGCCGGTAGCCGGTCAGATTTGAGGGAAACTAAATTTGCTCGACACTTAGAAAAAAATCAACGCCCGGCTACCAACGCTCGGTAGCCGGTGGTTGAAATTTTTCCAAGTCTTTTCAAAGCTTCACTTACAAAACACTTATTTTCCAACAAATTTTCTAATTCTCACTATAGTTTAAACGACACTTAATGATAAAAGAAAAAAATCAACGCCCGGCTACCAACGTTCCATGGAATGTTTTCCTTAATTTCTTTTTAAAAGCACGAAAGACTAATGGTTTGAAGCAAATTTGATGTACAGTCTAACTATTGACAACCAGTGATAAAATGACTGTTTGTTATCAGGGAAATAAATATGTCAAAAATCAATGAAAAATTGAAACACAGAGTCACGCTATTGTCATATTATTACTTAGCATACAGATTTCATACAAATATAAAATTTCGCTATACGTTTAAATATACAAGCTCATAATGGTTACATTCACACTAATTTTAAGACTTCAGCCCTCTTTCTTAAAGTATTTGGAACACGACATCCATTGAAATTAAATTCTGGATGACGCAATATCATGGACCAACGTAGACCAAATTGTTCAACGCCTAATCTAATGTAATTGTCCTCCTCGTGTGTAAAGCGAATACCTGAACGCCGTTTCGTTAATTCATAACTCGAAGTGGTTGGAGTGTCTTTGCAAAGATCTTCTTGTCCAGGTGATGACTGCTCTACCGACTCGGATTCAGTCTCCAAATTCTTACTTTTGTCAACTAATTTTTGCATGCACAAGCGTCCTCTTATTGCTACTTCTCGAGAACGTTTCTTTTGGTAATGTACACGGGCAACGTTAGAGCTGTGCTTCTGGTCTTCAGATATCCATTTTTGTTCGTTTGGTAGCAGAACCTGGGAACTTTCCGTCTCGATGATTTGTCTGTACCTAGTCGGATGAATGTACTTTCCGATGGCTTCGAACACCAGCACGCTGAAAAGATCTGTAAGTTTTTGAAACTATTTACCATTTCGATTTACCAACACATACTCGCAAGTGGGTGTGAGAAGGGGTCTGATGTACGTTATATATTTTCCCAATATCTCCATGCTGCATTCGTCAAAGTACACACTATCAAACCCGTATTTTTTAGCTGTCTTGAAAATTGTCTGATCAACCATTCCTTCGTTTCTCTTTGCACTTTCAAACATTCGCAAGGTCAGATGCTGGTATGTCATAGGACGACAGCCTTTTACTTTCAGGAACATGTAAGCGGCTACGAATCGGGTGGCAAACGTGACGTCACCAGTTTTGACTGAAGAAGAACATGCCATACACTTTTCCAACACGGATTCATAACGTTCTACGTGAAATGGTATTACAGATTGAACTTCGGAAAGAGTAGCCCAACTTCTGCGCGATTCGAGGGTTTCTATGTCTAATTCGGTTGTCCAATTTGATCTCATGCTCTTCCCTAAGCACTTTCGCGCTCTCTTCACATAAACCTCAGTAACGGCAAAATTTTGAAGCACTGATGCAGGGGGACGGTTAAATTTGCGAAAATCTAGTAAATCTGAAATGCTTGTGACATAGGATATTTGTGCTGATTGTCCAAGACCCCACTTTTCTTTTAGACTGTCCACGAATTTTGTCAACAGTTTTGGAGATCCCAAGGCGTAGTCGATTAAATTAGGGGAAGTTAGGACATCTTCCTCGGCGTCGCCACTCTCGTCGCAGCAAAACTTTACGAACTTTAAAGCTCTCGTGACTGAAATGTCCGATTGTTTAGGAGACTTGCCCCCGCCACAGCTGCTTTGAAGCCACTGCGAAAACGAACGAGCGAATTCATTATCTGTAGAGCAGCCAGGAACTGTTCTGGAAGCTTTTTCGTTAGTTCCATTCGCAGCAGACGGCGAAGTGTCGAAAAGGTCCATCGATACATTGGGCTTCTCGTCGAAATAGTAATACCAACCATGTTTTATTTTTACATGTTTACGACAACCTCTTTGACTTGGAAATCCTGGATGCTCGCAGCCCGTTACTGGACAATGATCTAACCCATCTCTGTCTTTGACCAAATGCAATCGTCTCTGTTTAGTAAACGCACCGTCGACTAATTTCCAATCTACTTTAGATTTTCTTCGTGCAAACATAAAAACTTGACAAAATGCTTAGCGATCAAATTACTTTGCTTTTTATAGTGAACACGACACACACGCATTAGTATGCATATGCGATGTATTAATCTTATATGTTAAATAATAGACCCAAGTGCAATATATTATTGTGTTATTTTGCGAAATAAATGGCAAAATTAAAATAGAGGAATGTTGGCTTTAAAGGGAACAATAAAACAGAACAATAAAACGGAACAACAAAAGCTAGCAATATGTGCATAACAAATTGTTCCAGTTTGCTAACCTAGTTAGAATATTAATGTTCCGCTTCGCGGAACATTTTGTTCCTAAGCAAAGGAACCATGAAAAGGAACAGATTAAGTGTTCCTAATACAAGTTGTTCTCAATCAGTTCCGCTTTGCGGAACATATTATAAACGGAACAACCAAATTGAAGTAGGAACGATTTGTTCCTTTTTAATTGCTGTTCCGTTTATAAATGGGAACACCCAACATAATTTACATGTATTCCTATTATGGGGGTTAAATACATGCAAAAACCATGGCAAAACAAATCGTTCTTGTCATGATGCAGTAGGTAACTTTAAATGCTTTTTCCTATTGAAATAACATGCTCACACCCTAGTGCTTCTGCCCAATTCAATTGTTTTGTTCCCAAAGCGCTTAACCATAGTAAATTTCTTGTTATTGTGATATTGTAAAAGGAACAATTTTTTGGGATACGCTACACCACCATCATCACCACCATCATCACCACCACCATCAACTGAATTTCGTTTACACAGGTGTTGCCAATTCACAAGAGCTGGATGCTCATAATGTATAAAAACCAGAGAAAACCATGGAAGCATGCGTTTTTCTAGCGTTTCTCAAGCACAGGGAAGTTACCCAACCTTAGTCAATACTCTACCGTCAGCCTACAATAATAGCAGGCGTATAATTCAAGTAAACTTACCTTGGACGAATGTAAGAGCCATACCAAGTAGACAGGGAAAAATAAAATTGATTCGAAAAATCTTTTTGGTAATCTACAATCAATTAAAAAATTCAATACATTGAAAATATCAGCATTTTCTTATAGTTCAAGCATTGGTGAACAAGACAAATATGTTGACACCTCTAATTTTGGCTACGTTTTGGCTAGTTTACTTTTATAAATTTTGGCTAGTTTACTTTTAGCAAAAATAGACTATACTAATAGGAAGTTCGCAAAAAAGTATGTTATAATGTTATGACTATATGCTATGACTTAGTATGTTACAACTTTAAGCCTCTACTCGCTTAATGAAAGGCTTGCATGCATGCTCGCTGCGAGTGCTTGCATCTAATATTTTTTCAGACACTTTTATCTCAAAATTTGACCATGTTAGGTTCTATTAAATATTTAAATTTGAAAAAAGACGCCGGTGTAGTTTTTGTGAAACTAAATTTTTGAGTTTTAAAAGAAAACTACAATGACGATTTTCAAAAATGTTCTGAAAAGATCCCAAATGCCATAAGGGAGCGTTCATTAGTAATGGCGGGGGGTGGAACTTGAAATTTTGCATTTTTAGTCAACAAGTAGTACTTGTCTTTACTTCAGTTTAAAAGCCAAAGTTAAAAGTTACACATTTTCAGCTGTATAGAGTTAAAAATCAGTGGTGCCAATATACAGTTTCTGTTCACCAATGTGTATAAACTCTGATGTATTATGATTTCGTCTACTAAGACTTGTGATCCTTAATATATATCGCGCCAATACATGTTTAAAACACCTTACCTGCATGCTTCAGATGATGTACCACTGCAGAAATATACACAGAACAGCGGTACCCATGCAGTTCAACTAATTCAAATTCATACAACGGTGCTTCTAAATATGAAGGATATGATTTTTTTGTCAAATTTCACGATATAGCCACAATTAATTCGACGTCTTGAGGCACCAAGTTCCTTTAGGTACGACAAGAAAGCCTTATACGGAACACCCAAGTCGTTTCTCTGCACCGGCAGTTGAAGAACAGTTTTTATATTCTGTTGGCCCTCACGACTTTCCGCAGAGCCAGAGATCCGAAAAGCGCGCCGCGTTATTCGACGGTAGTCGTATCTCCTCCTGTTAAACGCCTCCGCAGTTGAAAACAATATCCGGCAAAAGTTTAATCACATAGGTTTTTTTTTCAAAACTCTTTCAGAGGATGATTATTGCTTGATAAACAACAGATACGCTTTAATTAAACAAAATTTCCATTGACTCCTTCGGGGCAATTGCCTGTTACAACACTTGTATTTTTATATTGTGTGAAGCCATCCGTAGGCAAATCTTCCCTTCCGCAATAAAAATCAGTATAAAATGTGCATGGCTATCCTATATTCTTACGATATTTTACCACCGTCACCGAACTTTGCAGTTTTGCTAACTTTGATGTGCTCTTTTTAATTATGGTATTGGATTTTCTTTTCTTTGCCTACAAAAATTTGAAAGAACCGTTAAAATGTATACGTAACATGCATAAGAACAAGCAATCTTGGAGTACCGTCGTCCGTACCATACATATTTAGCATTATAACATCCCCGATTATACTTATAAAGCAGTATCGAAAGGATACAGTCAAAGAGCTTTCAAAATCATCATTTACATTAGTATACGATGACGTTTTGGCAGTTCAATATTCCGACTTTGTTTTCAAGACGTGAACGTTTATGTTCGGCATTCTTTAAGAATAAAGACTAAGGTTCTTCTTTAGTCCACTATCTGAACTTGTGGAAACCGTGAAAAGTCCTAGTCACAATTTACGTGTTTTCAAAGAACTTGTTCCGTTTAAATGTAGATCTAATCGTTTTAGAGACTCGTTTTAAAAAGTGAATTTTACTAAATGCTTACATTTTTCATCTTCAATTTTTATTTATTTATAATTTAATAGGATCTAGGTTGTTAATTATTTCTAAATAGTCAATGTGATCTAATGGTATATAATGGAAATGATAAATGTAGTTCAACCTTGTGGTTGCAAAGTCTAAAGTCTTTTAAATAAATCATAAATCATGCCATCAAACGATGTGATCGTCCGGTCTTGATTTCATGCTTTCCGTCTGAGCACAAGGGAGAAATCAATTTATCCGGATGGATGAGAACAATGCCTTAATAGACGTCATCGCCACGTTGGCATCCGGGGAGTGCTACAAGAAATTTTCAAAGATTCACAGATTTAGTATGCATTTGTTAACTTATTTGTAAAATATTTAAAAAATAGAAGGATTCAAAGTTTCACGTGGGTACGAAAAACGCAACAGTGGAAATCAGCCTTAAGTCTTAACCTAAGTCTAATCTTACTTTCAGCTGATGGGTCTTCAGTCTTGTTTGCATTTGTGGCAACGTCATCGTAAAAACATCGATTAACTCTTGCAACAATTTCGTAACCTGGCTGCCATGACTTTTTAATGTCGATTAAACGTATTGCGTTTGCCTAATTCACCCGAGCTGGAAAAACTCGTGCTTATAGGTTAGGACGCGGAAAAACTCTTTAAATTAATCAGAGTTTGAGTATAATTTTTAAACCAACGTAACTTTACTTCTACTGGATAGCTCTATCAATTCTAAACTCAACCTCGTACCCAGGCTCTTTGAGGGCGTGCGAAGGTAAGAGCCTGGGTACGAGGTTGTTCTAAGCTGCTGTCCTAGCGGGCCACTAAAGGCTAATTTCCACTCAGGAAAATTATCCGTGGATTGGAACGGACAAGAAAATGTTTCTTTGTCTTGTGAGCTCTGGGTTGGAACCACTTTGGAACTAATGACTTTAACACAAAGAAAAATTGTCTTGTCCGTTCCAATCCACGGATAATTTTCCTGAGTGGAAATTAGCCTTAAGAGTCGTCTCTTATTGATCCAGTGTTACTACAGGAGGAAAATTGATCCAGTGTTACTACAGGAGGAAACCTAAGCTAAACTAACGGTGGATTTCCACTTACAGAGAAATATTTCGTTGTCGAAATATTTCGCTTGATCTCTTTTGAATTGAGCCTGTCCGAATAAATCAAGTCACAGTTCTTCTAGACTGCGAACAGGCTCTATTTGAACTCTCTTTGAAACAGTTCTACTTGAGTCTTGACTGCTCACAATTCAAAAGAAAAGTGTCAAGGAGTCGAAGTTATGGATCGATGAAAGGTGCTGACTATAAATAACTATATTTTATAGATAAAATTGTAAATACGATATTGCTTGTTTTTCGAAGGGCATAAATCGCTCGAATGTTGATACTAACAAAAACTATCGATATGAGATTTTAATTTGCTTAACTGAACAGTGGAATTTTCAAATCATTTTCCAAAGTCGTAGCCGTAGGTCGATTTCGACCTATACGTACAACTGGGCCTGTCGATATTTATATAGTTGTACAGAGAGTTATATATTAATATGTGTCCATGTTATTTCGCCACAGCTAGCGCTATAGGAGTAACAGTTTCTTCAACGGTCGATATATTTTGAATATTATAAACTTTGAGATGTGTTATATATAAACTTGTTAATACATAATATGTCTTTTGTTTTGTCTCTAAACCTATTGGATGCGATTTGCTTGAAGCTTCAAAGACGTTTAATTCGTCCAGTTTCCAGATGTTTAAGACGTCTTCTAATGTAAATACGGCCATTAATAGCTAATTCACATCTTTAAAACCCAACGCAAACACCGAAGAAAAGCACCTTGTAATTGGACTGTCATGCATTTTTTTTATACGAGACAGTTCAGCAATTATATTCTTTGGTTGATTCTAAAATTATAAACGATTTCTTTATAACAACTTTTCGTCTTTCTTCATTTTGGAAGTGTTTCACTGACAGACATGACCTGACAGATGTGTTAGTGCCTCAGATATCCTACCACAATCTCAAACTCGTCAGTCAACAGCATCAACGGTACCCAACAAGGTACCTGCATGTATGTCATCAGCAAATCATCAGAGAATGCTGTTCGAATCATGTTGCCGTTTAAAGGCCAGGAGTCTGCAGACATTATATTTGTCTGTTCTTTCCAATATAATTCGCTCAAAACAGGGAAATGATCTTAAAAATTGCAATTTCTTAGGGCAATGTGCATGTCAGCTAAGCTGGCTCGCAAGAGGCGAGATCTCGCCTCATACAGTATATTCTTTTTATATGTTTTTGAGATTTGATTCACATGGGAAGCGGCCCAGCCTAGTTTGCCGAGCTCGCGCTTGAAGCGATGCAATATCCCGCCTTAATAATTCCTAATCGTATATATGAATGCACTTAATTAGCGGGCCAGCCCAGCAAACCGTGCTGGAATTTGTGCGACAGAGTCAGAGCATGTTTATAATATATACCGGCATGTATAAATAAAACGAGTTTATTTGAGTAATTTTGCAGAGTTTATGAGGACTACATAAGAATATATACTTTATATAGTCCATGCATATAGCATACATGCATAGTTTTAGTTTAAACAACTTACTTTAGATTGTCGAATTGGTCTTAAATTTTATGTTACCGATATAAAAATATTGCATGGCGAATTTCATACTTAATTATTAAAAGTCCCTAAAGTAGCAACGTTACCATACCAAATTTGACTTTTAATTAAAAGATGCTTTTCTTCGGCGCTTGTTTTTTATAATATTTTCTTTAAACGGTAAGATAACATTCTAATTCTCACTTTTCGTCCTCTTTTTACACCCCTTTAAACAACACAAACGATATATGCATTTCAAGTGTAAATTTCTGTTTTGCAAATAACAAAAATATATATTAGGTTTCTTCTTGCTTAGGTTCGCCGTTCTTTACTTCATTAAACTCACTTTCGTTCTCATCCGTTACCTCCATCGCTGTGGTTTCTGTCCGCATCCTGTCTGATTCTACAGGAGCCATCGCCACTTCAATGAGCTCCTCACTATCCGTTGCATTTGAAGACTCTGCTTTGAATGGTATCTCGCTCTCGTGCGACTCCAATTCACAAAACTCGGGCTTGTTATCTGTCGATAAATTCTTCTCTATCTCATCATTTTTTCTCATATCCACAAAAGAGTGTTCATTCTCATTAGTGAACTCGTGTTCGGGCGTATTCATTTTGCAGGCTATATGCTGCGCTGGCGAATCACTTGGCAAGCGGTTATCATGCGAGGATGGGCCATTATTTGTACCGTTCAGATGATCCACCGAGAAATCTGGGGAATGAAGTTTAATGTAACTGTTCGAATTTGAACCCGTGATGTGATCATCTAACATTACGGAATCAGCGAACTTTTCTTTGAAGTCATGATCACTCGATATTTCTTCTAAATGCTCGGCCAAGAAGTTCGCGCTTAATGGTGCTAGCGCTGGAGAAGAATCTACCTGCTGCTCTTTCTCTTCAGGTTTACTGTCATGTTTGCTGGTGGATTGAGACGAGGTTTCTTCTACTAATTTCGGATTGGATTCAGAGTCTAAACTGCAAGTGCTTGAAATATTTGGTGTATCGATGTGTTCTTGCTTGACTCGAATTGCATCAGGCGAGTGGGCGAACAATTGATCTGGAAGTGAATCAAAGTCGTTCGGTTCAAGCTTGAATTTCTTCGGACAAATAATTCCCTCGGGATCATCTTCGTGGCGCTTTAACTCAGAACGTGCGGACTCATCAATATCGAAGGCTTGGGAAGAGTTTACAAACTGCAACAGTGGGTCTGCCAGAGTAGATGGATCTTCATGAGACTGAGAAAATGCCGATGATTCAGCTGATATCGGTGGAATGATGCCTGCAGCATTCTCTAGAACGTGTACAGAAAATGGACTTCCTTTGAGCACCATTCCATTGATGAACACTGTGATAAGATGTTCACCGCTGTTGATTGGTGTGTAGGTTACAGAATAACAACCATTCTGTCGATCAACAACTTGAGCTTGGAAACATTTCTCACTCTTGATGTGCAATGAGCTGTCGTCAGCGGATTGGACAGTGACAACAATGCGATCACCGCCTTTGTTGCGAGGATTACCACGGCCATCGTAACACTGCACCAGAAAGCTGGCCATCTGACGGGCAATAACAGGCGCATCTATTCCTTTGACAACAGAAGCCGATGGACTTGTATTCGTATCTTCTACTCTACCAAGCTGAGAGAGAAGCTGCATGATAGTATTATCGACGGTCAAGCGAATGTTGTCATCAGCCACGGGGATACAGTTGTATTGCGCTCCAGTTAATTCCTTCATGCGATCCATGATATACTTCTTCATTGCAAGAACTTCTACTTGGGTGCTATTACGCAACGTCAACTCAGTGAAACCAATGCTGCTCTGAATGGAACCAAACGCGTATTCCAGTTCGGACTTCTGGGCGTCAAGGTGCAGCAAACGTTCGTTGCGGATGTTTTGTACTTGATTGTAAAGAAAGCTGTATCGATCGTTTATCGTGCGCATACATTGCGTGAAGATATCATTCAGTTCCTTAATCATCGCTCGTGTTCTCTCGTCCACGTTCGTGCGCATTTTGCTGACCGCAGCAAGACCTTGCTTCAAAAACAAACCTGTCGATCTTGCCTCGCTTAGTTGCTCAGCTATTTTACTGCGTTCTTTATTGTAGATTTCTTTGGCAAACGCGTATCTGAAAGTAAATACTGGAATTAAGCTATGGAGTAATTGGAGTTGCTTGGCATGTTTGATATTGTATATAACTACTGCATGTTTGATGCAATAAATTCATTTGGAGTTTTGGCGCAAAAATGGTAGTGTATGTCTGTTTCACCTTTCACGATATCAATTCCTGAACTATTCCTGAAAGCAAATGTTTGTACTTCCCTTCGGACATATTTCAAACGACTGCTTCACCCCTCTTTTCTGTTACCAGCTTTGGTTTAAATATAAATATCTTGCTTTTTGCCAAACATGTTGGACGTGATATAATATTAATAACTACGCGAAAAATTCGCCCCATGACTCATTTCATATCACGGGAGTCATTTTAGAATAAGGCTTATAGAATTAAATGAGATTTACTCGATGCCGCAACAGAAATAACTTGCGTGGCAGACGGTCTTCCCGCGGTGGAACACTTGAAAGACGGTCGTCTACCTCGTAGGCTACAATACAAACGAAAACCAAATTTGCTTTGTTTCTGGGCAAATTATACAGTGTAAGTTGTTTATATTGCAACTCTATCGATATCCTTTATCTTGTAGACCTCGCGTAAATTAAACAATTAGTATTAGCTAACTGAGCATCTTATGTACAAAGTCAGAGTACAAGGTCAGTTACACATGTGAACAATGCAAAGCAGTTTGCGCTAGATGTCAAAGTGCGCTGATTAACACAAACTTACTTGTGACTGCGGTGTTCCATCATTGTACAATCTCTACAAACAGAACACTGACACGACTCGCAATATAAAACCAACTTCTCCTTTTTGTGCACGTTGCAAAACAACGGCTTGGCCAGTTCACCAGGAAGGCAGGAGCGTACGTCGTCCAAACTCGATAGCTGATGATCAATCGTGTCACGTGACCGACGATGGGCAGTCGTGCAGAAATTACAGAGGAATTTTCGACACAGGGTACATCTAGACACTGGTGGTTCCTTACTAATACAGTTCTCGCAACTGATCTGATTGACAGATGAGTTATCCAGGGCAATGACTGTCAGCATGTTCTGGGCAAACAGGTTAGTTTGCAGTGATGAAACGCCTTCGCCGGGAATCTAAAGTATTCAAATTTATTTAATTTTAGTGTTTAATAATGGGACACTTTTCATAACCGGACCATTATCATAACCGGTAATCTACCCCTTTTCTACATATTATAAGTTAGAGTTATAAACCGAGAAGGAGGTTTATAACTGATATATTGCCCCCGAGGACGCGCAGCGTCCGAGGGCAATATATCAGTTATAAACCGACTTTCGAGGTTTATAACTAACTTATATCTCATTTGTGGAGGTTTTCTAAAATATTTTGTCATTTTCAAAAATTTTTGATGAAAAATTCTCGCGTCGAAAAGTTTGATGTAATTATTTATTCAAGGTATATTAGCTAGTTATAAACCTCGGACTATCAAAGAAAACCGACACAAATGAGATATAATTCGAGTTGAGATCTTCAAGATAGACAGATATAATGCTGGAATATAAATAATAATTAGAAAATATAATTAAAAAATCTACCAACGGGAGGCCATTTACGTTCAACACTTTTATGCCTTAGAGGCACAAGAGTTAATTTTTATGCTCCTCTTACAACATTTTGCTTGTGCGGCAAACATTTAAATATTTTTACCATTAGATGATATCTGTATGACTGTATGTACTATTTAAAAAACGAGCAGGAGTGTTTTATTAGGTTTAAAGCCACGAGCGCGCAGCGCGAGTGGCTTTTAGACCTAATAAAACACGACCTGCGAGTTTTTTAAATGGCTTCAAAAACGTTTGCATAATAAGTCAAATCTTTATATAAAAATCTTTATATAAAAATCTTTATATAGTTTGCATAACAATGGTCTTTTGTTAAAGTGTTCTTTAGCTGGTATAAAGACGTATCCACGTGACTAATTTCTTACTCAAGATTGGATAATTGCTTCATGAATTATTAACGAGTTTTTGAAATATATTTAAAAAACTCATTAATAATTCAGGAGCAAAACACAAAGAAAAATCATAAGCTTGTCGTGGTTTTATATGTGATAAAAAATCATGTTAATTTACATAAACTTTAGCTTTGATTTTCTCGGTTTAGACAAAGTTTATTTTAAAAATTACTTCGCCAATGAACTCGTATAAGATGAGTCGTTTTTTTAAGCCATTTAAAGCACTTGTAGTCGTGTTTTATCACATATAAAACACTCCGCTACGCGTCGTGTTTTATATGTGATAAAACACTCCTACGCGTGCTTTAAATATTACTTAACAAGTTCTATACATATCCAGGGAATTGACATTTTCAAAAATGCTAAATCAATAATTCCGCCAAAAGGCCAGGAGATATCTATCATTTTTTTATTGCGGTAAAAAATCACGGAAGGTTAATTTTTCTGATTTACTTTGGTATTAAATTAATTGCCCATGTAATACTTAGTAGAATCACTAGCTCTTTAAAAAACGGCAAAGTCTTTGCTTTGGAATTTAGTTGGACTTGGTCAAAATAAACTGGTTAAAATAACTTTTAAATTAAACATAATTGTATTATTATTAACTACAATTTTACAAAGCAAAGGGTGAATTAAAGTTTTAAAAAACACAAAAATATATTACAGGGCAATACCAAACAGAATTTGGCGCAACGCTTTAAACACTAAATTTTCAGTATTTTGACCCGTTCTTGCTGGTCATGAATTTGCAAACTTAAAATACTTATGTTGCCACTTTTTCACTGAATGTCCGCCATTTTGTTTTACTGTACGGCACCGAGCTGGAACATACATACCCCAAATTCGCAAGTTTGGGCTCTCCCGTATACATTTGCTTTTTATATTGCGTGAATATATAATTAACTATCTCATTCACTGGAGGGACCGGATTTAAGTTAAGTTAAAATAGTACAATATTTTCAATAATGTTCATTGAAATATATATTTCCACAATACGACAATTAATATCAATATGTTAACAAGATAACAATTTCTGATCATCAAAATGTTTAAGGGAGTGGTCATTATTTATGGGGAGGGGGGGGAGGGGGGAGGCAAACGAAGTTTTACCCTTATAAATAGGGGGGGCAAAAAAGTTTTAACACAGAGAAAGGGGGGGTCATAAAGGTTTTTGAACTTAAATACCATGTCTAGAGTTCTGATTTCTATAATCACAAATAGCAAAAAAGAAGACTCTGAAAATGCTATTTCCAACGATTTAGAGACTCGAAATTTTCAATATTTCCCTGCTCGGCGCCAACCATGGCAGCGCCTCGCGATCGTGGGAGTCGGGCCCACTAAATTTAACAAGCTTTCTACCCCCTGAGTGACCCAGTTGTGGTATTTACATAAACATAGCATGCAAGTACACTTAACTGATCAGATTCGGTCTATCAACGCACAATGTAACGCTGTATATCCAAAAATCTGTTTCAGAAAACGGCTCACATTTCAGTTCTAGGGGTGGAAAAATACAAAAAATTTTATGGGGGAGAATACCCCCAGACCTCCCTACTAGTATATATGATACCACACCAAACGTTTTGTCACCAACAACCATCTGTCATCTCTCCACACTCAATATAGTATGGTCCCTTTTTGTAGATGCCCACCCCCCAGACAAGTTCTTAAAAAAACCCTGTGTTCAAATCATTTCGCTGTATGAAGACGGGTCATGGGTTAGGGTAAGACAAATGTTGCATTGCAAAGTAGTAACACATAATATATATTTTTTAATCATATGGTTGAATCATATTCACCAGGGTAAAACATCATGAGCTAGATTAAACAGATTGTCCTAATATCTAACTTTACCTGCAACGCACACCTGTTTCATTGCTGTTAATTTTTCAATCCACACTGGGGAGGGGGCAGAAAAAGGGGGCACTTTTATGAGGGGGGAGGCACAAAAAGTTTTCCTTCAGTCTGGAAGGGGGGGGGGTCAAAAAAGTTTTCAATCCTTATTTTCCCCATTTCCCAACCCCCCCTCCCCATAAATAATGACCACTCCCTAAGCATGAAAATATGGCGACGTGAGAAAACACCAAAGTTTGAAAATCTTATTTCTTTCACGAAATTCAATTGACAATTGAGTATTAGCCCGAGCAAAAAAGTTTCCTGCCAGTCTCTCTATAGTTTCTCATACGCCATGTATACAGAAGAGGATTGACTGTAAAATTGATACAAAACAAGATGGTCAACAGAATATAAACTACATCACTTCCAGGTCTTTTCAAGTGTTCATCCACAGCACCACTACTTGTAGAAATGTTATAAACCATCAATGGAATTGTGCAAACTGCTGTCGTTATTGAAACCAAACATATTGTAGACAAGAAACGTTTCTGACTTCGCAATCGACCTATTTGGAAATTGTTTGCCTGATTTTCGAAATTTTCCCAGTACTGAGACTGTCTGTTTAGCACCCAAGCAGTCTTAGCATACAAGTACACCCCACCTGCTACTACTATAAGTATGAATGCGTTTGTAAAATAAACGCCAAAGCGCGAGTTTCCATACGATTCTTCAATGACGACTTGAGCAAACGACAGGATCCACTGAATTATCACGACCGCCAACGTTATTTTCCATGTTACCAAGAGTTTATATTTTAAAGGGAAAACAGTGATCAAATATCGATCAATAGCCAAAAAGAAGGCACTAAACATTGAAACGTATACAGGAAAATGTAAAACAAAATACAGTTTTCCATCACCAAGCAAACAGTGAACTTCGGTGAGTCGACACAAACACGTCAAAATGTCGGAAACGGCCAGATTCATGATCAGGTAGGATGTGGAGTTGCGGAAACATTTCAGGGGATCCTTTGCAAGGCCGAATAACAATAAAACATTACACACGGTGCCAGTGAAAACGAGAAAATAAAATGGAAGATAATACAGCGAAATAATAGTATTATAAGCCGTACAGGTTATCATCATCTTCACCTTCGATAAAATATACATTCGTGTGCGAGACAGAAACACATTTCACAACATCTGCTCCGAGTATTATATCATTTTAATAATTTATTAAGTATATTAAACTTTTGTTCCTTTCTGGAACATTGCACTACTGAATACAGAACATATATATATACAGTAATACTGTGCTCGATTATAAAACTGGTCTGATCAAATCACAAATTATGCGACATTTATTAACCGAAATACATCATCAAGATTCTCGAAGTCCAATGGCAATGCACGTAAAGTAAGTGATGAATTATATAAAGTATATGTTTAATTGAATTTCCATAACAATCAACGGCAAAATTCAATTTTAAAGTGGCACTCGCTTTAAAATTTTTACTTTCTTAAACGAAAATGCTCTTAAAACTGTACAGTAACAGAGTAACTTGTTTTGAAGATTTTTGTTCGCATGGCCATGCTTAGTTCTTGAGATATTTCATTTTGTTTGTAACCATGTGACGCCATTTACTCAATTACATATATAATGAGATATCAGTAGTTGTTGTGCATCTTTGCTATTCTTGATGGATTTGTTTAAAAAAAAACAGTATGTAGGTTAAATCTTTGGAAATATTTTGATAAAAAATAGCAAAGATACGCAACAATTACTGAATCTCATTATATATGTAATTGAGTAAATGACGTCACATGGTTACAAACAAAATGAAATATCTCAAGAACTAAGTATGGGAACAAAATCTTCAAAACAAGTTACTATACAATTTTAAGAGCATTTTCGTTTAAGAAAATAAAAATTTTGACGCGAGTGACACTTTTAAGGAAATCTTATATTTATTTTGCGGTATTTCTATATGTAGTATAAACCCAGGAACCAGAGTTATGTGCATTAGCATAAAATGAGGTGGTGCATCATCATTAGCATAAAATAAGGCGGAGCATGGATGAGGGTGGGGATATCTATGGGGTGGGGGTGGAGAATATTATGTATGTTGACGTCATAATGTTGCGATGACGATATAGCCTAACAAGAGTTGGCACGTTTGGGCATAATTTTACTGTGTTTAGCATATTTTCTGAATACGTCACAAATATAGCTAAGCCTCCCCATAAAATTTGACCACATTCGTTTGAGCATATTCATTTGAAGTGAAGTGAAGTGAAGTGAACTGAATTGACTGTTCTTACTTGAAAAAGCAATATGATGAAGTCTCTATATGGAAAATCTGCATCCTCTTACAATCAGTTCAGTTTATTGGAAGGAATATATAGGAATGTAGTGGCACGCGAAGTTCAGAGACTTTGCGAGGAATTATGTTGTAGTTGTAAAATCGATCACCCTTGTCAAAGACAACACGCAATAATCTTTTTTTTTCTTACCCTAAGTCCCTAACCTACCTTTTAAATATTTTGTACGTAGTTTACTCTGTGTTGTCAACGCCGTTGTTACGGTCGAAAATCATCCGCACATCACATGTGGACACAATTTTTATTTCACACAACGAGCATGAAACAGACAAATACAAGAGAACAAATGGAACAAATACGAATACTAATAATTTTAATAGAAAAGTTGAATTACTATGGAATTAGAGGATTACCCAGTAAATGGTTCACCTCGTATCTTTCTGATAGACAACAACTAGTTAAAATAAATAACATAAGCCCCATCAATTGCAACAATTTCCTGTGGTGTTCCTCAAGGATCTGTTCTTGGTCCAATATTGTTCTTGATCTATATAAACGATTTTCATCACTCTTCATCCTTATTTGACTTTCATTTATTTGCTGATGATGCCAACTTATTTTATAGAAACGCAAGTTTAGAAAATCTACAATATAATCTAAATCACGAGTTAGATAAGGTTTACATTTGGCTATGTGCTAACCGGTTGTCTTTAAACATAGAAAAATCAAACTTTGTTATTTTCCATCCATCTCAGAGAAGGTTACACTCCAACATTCAGTTAACCCTGAATAATAGTCAATTGGAACAAAAAAAATTGCATCAAGTATTTAGGCGTGTTTATTGATTCGCACCTCTGCTGGAAACCTCAGGTTGAATATATAGCAAAAAAAATAAGAGAAGCATCGGTGTCTTATCTAAGTTGCGCTATTTTGTTAGTACTAATACATTGATAACCACGTATTATGCTATGGTTTATCCCTTTCTAATATTCTCGATTATGACTTTTTCCAAATTTGATGAGCATGCACTCTAGCCCAATATTTAAATCGTCGAAGATTATAAAGCTGTGTGATCTTGTCACCCTACATATTGCAATATTTATGTTTAAATTTCATCATCAGATGTTACCTCCTGCCTTTGAATTGTTTTTTACGCCAGTGGAAAATGTCCATAATTATAATACACGTTCATTGGCTACACAGTCTTACTATCTCCCAAAAATAAGAACAAATTATGGTAAATTCAATGTACGATTTCAAGGATCTATAGTTTGGAATGCAATTGGAGTTTTCATGTTAAATCTCTTTGACTTTCATTTAAAAAATTCAAAAAATATTTAAAACAAGATTTTATAAGTAAATATTAATTTTGTAAAAATAATAAAAAACTCCAGTATATGATTATTTGTATTATATACAGTATGTCCTCTGTCTTTGTGTGTGTATACAGTATAATTGTATGCTTTATGTAATTCAGTAATCAACGTTATTGTAAACTGGCTTCCCAGCATCTTTAGCTTAGTGGTTATTTTGGGAAGTCAGTATCCTAAGTATTGTAAAATTTCTTTATGTGTACAAGTACGTATGTTTTATTTATGGATTAAATTGTTGTTGTTGTTGTTGTTGTTGTTGTTGTTGTTGTTGTTGTTGTTGTTGTTGTTGTTGTTGTTGTTGTTGTTGTTGTTGTTGTTGTTGTTGTTGTTGTTGTTGTTGTTGCTGTTGCGGTATTACGCATTGCGCATTACGGTATAGGCTTTAAAATCTGGCGTGAGCATGGCTTTGCGTGCATAGATCAACAATACACAAGAATTAAAACACGTTCATTTTCAGAGCGTATCGTTTCGGTGTCTTATGTGTCCTTAATTGAAGATTTTAGAATTCTCGTATTCTTCGCTATCTTCGGGCCGGTGATAATCTTGCAATATCTTCAGGCTTCATTGGAATATATTTTGGTCTTTCCTTTAGTAAAAAACGTTCATACCACTCTCTTTCATTCGGTGTCATCATAGCCAGGTCACTTTCTTTCCAGTCAGTAGAGTCCACCCAATTGTAGAAAAAGTTGAGTATGGGAGAGGATGGGTCGTTTTTCTTTCGCTGTTCGGTGTCATACAGTACATTGCATTTACAAGAGCGGTTGATGGTAGGTCTGCTTGGGCACATATTCGACTAAGGCATTAGCTTCGCCTGGCAATATGCCTTTCTTAAGTCGTTGTTGATAATCTGTTGTATAGCTAGGCTTTGAATTCAACATCAAAAACACCCGCGGGCGTTGCGGCCATAAACTCTTGTACTCTGCCAGAATTTACTTGTCTACCAAGTATCGTGATTTGTTGTTTATCTCTTGATGATTTGAACAACACAATATAATGGGCGTTAAGGCTAATATTTCACATCTACTTAACTTAATGAAATATATTTTGTACAATGTAGCCAATGGACAAATTTCGGTGATGGCTTTCCTCGTAAAAAGGTCAGCTACAGACTACAGGTATACGTTAATCTTTGCCGGATTGTGCCATGAGATGGTCTAGTACGATCAAATTTCGCTCAGATACATCTAAGTAAACCACTTTGTCGATGCATGGTGCCTGGGATTGAATTTAATGAATAGGCACCGTTCTCATCATATCAAAATATGATGGTTGCCATCGGCCATAACACTAGATGATTATTGATGCGTTGAAGAGTTTTTGTGTGCATTCTCCAAAAAAGTTTTTATCCACACATGTAGTTTTTATCCACACATGTATGTTTTTACCCAGCTACGACGCAAGTAAATAGCTGTTACAACATCATCGACATTTTACGCTAATGATGACGTGCCGCCTCATGCACCGCCTCAAAAACCAGGTGGTGGTTAAACAATACTTTATCTATTTTAATTCTATATCGATGGAATTTAGACAAATGTTGGCAATCGGGTCCCTTACCTGCACTCTCCTGCGACATTGAGGACATATTAGGGATGAACGGTGCTGGGCATCAAAGGACACCAGACTTTCCAAACACGGCATGCAGAATGAATGTAAACATGGTAGGATTTTTGGTTCGCGAAACAGCTGCGCGCACACAGGACATGTCATAAGGTCTTTCATCTGATTCATGTCTGGTCTGTCACGTTTCTCCTCCTGCAAAAGATTTATGTTTCTCAAATTAACAATACGCTATGAGCCAATTCTGCGAATATTTGACCACGAGGTACCAAAATTATTTCCGAAGACGAAGTTCGCAACGATGCAAATATCTCACTTTATATAATAACGTTAAGGATTCAAGCGCTTTCATTGGTCGAGAGTCATGCTCTAAAAGAGGGCAAACGCACAGAATTACGTTACACAAAACTTTGTTAGCCAATAGCATTCCCTTATTTGTGTAGATCATGTGCGCGTGATATTTGTAAAATTTCGACTTCAAATTTTCAAATGTTTGGGTGGATAAAAAATAAGCTATTTACCTCTTTAATTCAGGGTTTTCTTTTTATTATATAAAACAAACAGATAAGATTTTGCTGTTGTCTGTTCAGTTATAGATATACAGTATGACGTCATAATGTGGGAAGCAGGGTCTTAGCTAGAGGGCCGTGTTGGCCGTGTTATCGCGGCCAAAAGTGCAAAAACACGGCTAGATAAAATGAACGCGGCTTCACTATTTATATAAGGCCGTGTATATAGGTTCATAAAATAAGGTGGTGCTATACTTACGACAGACAGAATTTCTTCCTATTTACGTCAAGAAAATTTGTAGAATCTACTGTTGTTGTTGAATTGGCAAAAGTGATCCGTGATGTTTTAATGTTTTGATGGATAATGGGAACTGTATGGTGTTCAAATGGTTTTAATTTTGTTGAAATAACTTAATTGTCAGTGCGCAATATGAGCGTATGCTCGCCTTGTATTTGGCTGCAAAGCATAGAACAACCACAGGCATTGTTGTTGGCGAGCATAACTAGAGCCATTATTTTGCTATTCAAAGTAATTGACATGTGCACGCCCTGGTCATTAGAAACACGCCCAAGATCTAAAATCCTAGCTAAGACCCTGGTGGGAAGACCAAAAAAGTGACCCACTCGCCTTTTGTTCTTCCCACATTATGACGTCATACTGTATATCTATAACTGAACAGACAACGGCAAAATTTTATCTATTTGTTAAAGTATACCATCAGAAAATATATATGCCACACACATAGCAGGGTTAGTTATTTAGTGAATTGTGCTAGTGAGTGTTTGTTTTCGCAAAGCGAACGAGGAGTGAGTTAATATCTTACCAGGGGAGCGCGAAAACGAAAATCTGTTTGAGAAGTTACTTTTACGAGTCTTAACGATTCTACACCAACGGTCACAGAAATAAATTAAAGCATTATAAATAAAGATCAAAGTCTCTCTATCAACAAAATTACAAATTCGTCTTAGTGCTACTATTCCTGAGGTTACTTTTTTAGCCACAACTTCAATTTGCTTGTTCCAATTTAGTTTATCATCAATTTCTACTCCAAGTGTTCTGTTTAATTTTGACTTGATCGATTTTGATGACTGGTTGAGTGGCAACTGGCAAGATCATTTATTTTGTAGTCAAAACCAATCAGTATAAAATTCTGTTTTTGCAACATTAAGCCATTCCTTTATGCATATAAGATGATTCATGGTCTACTCAACTTCATCTATAGTCTCACCAGCTACTATAAGGTTAGTTTCATCAGCAAATAATGGAGGAGTAACTTGGTTAAGACTTAAGACACTCCGGCAGGTCAATAATACATATATAAGGAAGGAGAGGACCAAGAATGGAGCCCTGAAGAATACCACATTTCACATGCCTCTCAGATGACATCACGTCACCCAATTGGCATTTCTGTTTACGGTCAGACAAATATGAATGTATCAAGGATAAGGCACAACCAGTAATACCGTAGAGTCTTACTTTACGCAACAGAATGTTGTGGTTAACAGTATCAAAAGACTATCCACTTAGATCCATTTAGATCCATTTAAACATTTTGCGGTCCATGTCATTGACCTATACCAACTGTTCGTGTTGTCAAGGAGAGCCGAAACAATTGAATGAAAATTACAAAAGCCAAATTGGTGTTTCGAGAGTATTGAGTTTTCATCAAGATATATCCGTATATCTGGTCATACATAATTTTTTGTATTAATTTGTTTACTGCAGGCAAAATTGAAATTGGCCTATAACTTTCAAGCAGATTCCGTGGGCCCTTAATTTTAAGCCGGTTTTCAATAGGTGAAATTTTGCAAGCGGAGCGGAATTTTTCTTTGTCTTTTCTAATTAGTTCCACCCGAAAAATCAAAATTCACAAGACAAAGAAAATTTCCGCTGGCGCGCGCAAAATTCCGCCTAATGGAAAAGCGGCTTTATAAACATCAGAAACAGCCGCATAGAAATATTTTACTAAGTGAAATTTATTATTAGTGAAATATTGATTCAAGGCATCAGCCATTTCTTTAAGTGAAGTGATATTAAACATCATTAATCTTTAATTCATTCACAACTGTACCACTGGGAATCGACCTAGTAAATTATTAATTATTTTCTAAGCCTCTTTTGTAAGGCAACATTGACCTTGTTTCTGGATGTTTTATATTCATCCCAGTCTGCATCTAAGTGTGTCACCATCGCTTTACGCTTTCTGTTATCTCTATATTGATGTCCTCATGCATGAGACACCAAACTATCTTTTGTTAATATGCTGAACTGGGGCATGCTTATCCAGAACTTCTAAAAATAACACTTTCACTTGACGCACAATAACATGCTAAAATTGGGTTACCTTTCCTATATGCCCTTCATGAATGCGTTATTATAAAGGCTGCCTTCCATGCAATCAAGCGTTTTTATATGCGCACGGAAAAGTTTAAATATTTTTCAATTTAAGACTAGTATGAATTACCTGTACAAATGCACATTAAATCATTCACAAAACTATATGCTTTCCTTTTATTCATTCAGTTATTTCATAAGTAACATTTAAAGATATTTCAACTTTTCCGTGCGTGTACGTATGTATGAAAACGTGAGACTGGAAAACAGCCTTAACTTGTCTCGTATTGTAAGGAGTAAAACGATGAGAGCACGTCATTGTAACTTGTCTCGTTTTGTAAGAAGTAAAACGAATGAGAACGCGTCATTGTAGTGTGAACGCGTTATTGTAACTTGTCTCGTATTGTAAGGAGTAAAACGAGTTAGAACGCGTTATTGTAATTTCTCTCGTATTGTAAGGAGTAAAACGAGTTAGAACGCGTCATTGTAACCATAGACAATCCAGAAGACAGGGACTGGAAACGCCTAATGTTTTGCGCGTGCCATCCGTGATGTGCTTGCGTGACGCTTGTGCCAATCATGCCATGTGCAGTAAATTACTGAATGGCGCCTTTTGCTTCGAAAAAGAATAAAGCGATAGATTGTGGACCGGTACTTGTTTGCTGTTTTACAGCTGTTTATATACTGGAAAATTGTTTAAATAATCTACACTGAAAAGGGAGTTAGGTATATCACATTGTGTGTAAAGTTTATAAAACGGATCTTCTAATATTCAGAGACAAGTGCAGAGAATTTTCGAGCTTGTTCGAAAATGTTGATTTCCAATTTGGGGTGGACTTTCAGGCACGATTCATGTTTGTTTGCGTATTTTAGTTTACTTTAGTTAAGTTTATGTATATTTATTCAATTTTGCTTCACTGTAATTACGTTATATAAATTGATTGAAGTTATCTTTTCGAAGTTTTCCTTGCACTATATTTTAAAATTCGAATTTGGCAATTTTCGGTTTTTATTTTAATATACCTTCCATTTTTAATATTGACAACAAATCCTTTCTTTCTCGAAAACCCTTTTTGCTAAGGCACCCATTATTTAAAAGAAATAAAAACAAGGTTTCAGTTATTTTAACGGTGAGTTTTGTATGTTTAACACTCTTAACTTTCGACAATGCCAACAAAAATGCCAATGGCAATGACGACTTTTTTGCTGTCAAAAACATTACGCAATCATTAAAAGGTGGTTTTTGCCTTTGTTTGACCCAATATAAGTTTAAAAACCGGAGAAATGCATCCACATGTCTATATTTGTTTTAAATATGTAAATTGCAAACCCTGAACTTTATTTGAACTGTAGTTGCAGGGTTCGAAGTTAGCCGGTACAAACTTTGCCGGACAACAACAAATGGCAATGGCGACTTTTTTCAGTGAAAAACATTACGCAAGCATTCAAAGGACGTTTTTGGCTTTGTTTGACCCGATATAAGTTTCAAAACGGGACAAGTGCATGCACAGGTCTATTTTTGTTCAAAATATGTAAATTACAAACTCTGAACTTTATTTCATTAAAGTATAGTTACATGGTTCGAAGTGGGGGCAACAGAAATGGCCATCTTCTAGTTGGCGCAAAAGTAATTTTGGCCGTCAAATTTTCAGTAAACATTTTTGGGCGAATAAGTTACCAAATTGATATAAAAAATAGCCTATTCGATAGATTACAATCTTGTGATTACACATATTTTGACCAAAAGGTACAAAAATAGTTTATTTTTCAGTTGCAGGGTTAGTTTTGCCAGCAAGTTTTCAGAATAATATGACAATAACAATTGCCAGCTAACGACATTCGTAATTCTGTCAATCAAATTCAGTAAACATTTTTGGGCGAATAAGTTACCAAATTGATATAAAAAATAGCCTATTCGATAGATTACAATCTTGTGATTACACATATTTTGACCAAAAGGTACAAAAATAGTTTATTTTCCAGTTGCAGGGTTAGTTTTGCCAGCGAGTTTTCAGAATAATATGACGATAACAATTGCCGGCTAACAACATTCGTAATTCTGTCAATCAAATTCAGTAAACATTTTTGGCTGAATATGATACCAAATTGATATAAAAAATAGCCTATTCGATAGATTACAATCTTGTGATTACACATACTTTGACCATAAAATAATTGCTGCGTGCGCGATTTACCGATAGCACGATCCAAATTTTACATTTAGCATCACTATAAAATAGAAATAAATGAAAATTTGGACGTATCTACCTTTGATAGTATAGCCGCTCCACGACTACGATCCCAAAATTCAGATAATACGCTTTTTTTACGATATATTTTGCATAAACTACACGCATTTGCCTTTGTTTTTATGTAAATTTAAAGACTTGTTACCGTGGTAACCAAGTAATTGCTACGTGACAGGCACATCACGGATGTCACGATTTGTCATCATATTTCTAGCTTGCGTTTCCAGTCCCTGTCTTCTGGATTGTCTATGTTGTAACTTGTCTCGTTTTGTAAGTAAAACGTATGAGAACGCGTCATAAGTCATTGTAACTTGTCTCGTATTGTATTGTAAGTAAAACGAATGAGAACGCGTCATAAGTCATTGTAACTTGTCTCGTTTTGTAAGAAGTAAAACGAATGAGAACGCGTCATTGTAGTGTGAAGTGTGAACGCGTCATTGTAAGTTGTCTCGTATTGTAAGGAGTATAAAACGAGTTAGAACGCGTGATTGTAACGTGTCTCGTATTGTAACTAAAACTAGAGACCTCACGATGTAGGACGGCAACGCGACGACGACGGTCAGAATAAAATCATTCAAATAAACGATTGTGAAGAAAGTTTGTAGACTATTATTGATCGTATCAATTTAATACCGTTTGGTCTAGCGGTTTACCTTGAAATAGTGGCTTTATTGTTGAGTAAGTTCTAAGACGTAAAAGCCGGTGTCACAGGAATTCCGCCCCCCCCCCAGGAGATTCGCCCCTTTCGGGGGGGATATTCCTAGGAATAGCGCCCCCTTCAGGAAATTCGTCCCCTATATAAATTTTAAATTTTTTGTCTAAAAACAAAACGATTGCAAGTTGAAAAGAGCGTTGAAAAATGTGATTTATCTTTTTATTACAATAAGGAGACAAAATTACAGGCTAATTAGTATATTGAATAATGCTCAATTTATATACAGTATAGGACGAAATGTTTCTGGGCTTTGCCTTTGAATGGGTATGACACGTTGTACATACTAAGACCGTCTATTTCATATTTTGAAATTCGATCAATTCCATCATGTTTGCCCTCGTGTTTGTCAATACAATGATAACGTGTTTCAGGCGAAGGCAACCAAGTTCAAATTTGGCAAATGTGTTACTGCATGACTACAGTTAATAATAACAATGAAACTAAACGTATTTCTTCTATAAACACGATAGTAAATTTATAGCTTAGCCTTAGCTGATGTGGTGGTATAGTACTAAATACCATAAACACGATCGATCAGTATAAAATTACCTAACCAAATTCACAATTATTTTCAATCAATGTCAATGAATAATTTTGTGAATATTGCATCAGTAGAGAGAAGTAGATTTTTAGTGCTCTTTACCTATTGTTTTTAATGTATTCGGCACATGTGAAATACGGCGTATGAAACGGGCCTTAGGCCCGTTTCATACGCCGTATTTCACATGTGCCGAATACATTAAAAACAATAGGTAATGAGGCATTTCAGCTCATTATCTATTGTCTTTAATGCATTCGGCGCATGTGAAGTACGGCGTATGAAACGGGCCTAAACGGTGTGATTATAAAAAACATACAGTTTATGCATGTGTCAGTTAAAAAAACAACAAGTTTTTAAAATACCAATAATTACAATAACCACCACGGTGATTACTTTTTAACAATCAGTTTAAGGATTACCACTGAAAATGCAAAATATGCATGGTGTGCTGCATGTGAAGCGTCATAAGTCCTATTGATCTGCTGTAAGCTCTTTCGATACGTGGAATTGTAAATTTGTATTCTTACATGGCTTGAAATAACGTTCCCAAAGTTCCGGAGTATGGCGTCATATCACCGCCAATATTCATGTATATCATGCTTTCGACATTGAAGTTAAATAGGACATTCAGCACCTACGTGCTTTCGACATTGAAGATAAATCTGACATTGAACATGCAGAACATTCAACATATTTTCGACATTGAAGTTAAATAAGACATTCAACACCTACGTGCTTTCGACATTGAAGATAAATCTGCCATTGAACATGCAAAACATTCAACATATTTTCGACATTGAAGTTAAATATGACATTGAACACCTATGTGTTTTTGACATTGAAGTTAAACCGGACATTGAACATGCCGCGAATTTAGCACCCATCACAACTTCAACGTTCAAAATATGTTGAAAAAAATTACCACATGTTGAATATTGGCGGAGTTGAACGATAGCGTCAAATCTCCGCCAATATTAATTAAGCTAACACAAGATAACCCCCCGGCCAAATTCATTCGTGTCCAGACCTCTAGAACATATCACATGACGCAAGCCGAGGATCGAATTCGCCGCATCTTGTCGCTGTATTGAAGGCCGTATATTCACCATAATATTCGCGTATATTCGCTTGATTGTCTTAAATTAATTGACTTTTATAGCGCAGATTGAATTGCTAGAGACGCAAAAAAACGCAAAATCTGGTAGAATGAACCCAGAGGCAATAATTTCCGCAAGAGATGCACGCAGATGCTCTGTTTGAAGTTGCTGAGCGATTGAGACAACAGTCAACAGCTGTTATTAAATGTATAAAAATTGATATTATTTTATTTATTAGATTATATTTTAAAAATTTCTAATAATCGCATTATAAATAATCGATACATTTTAATATTTAGAGTGTACTGGCAAAAACAATGCGTGCGTCAACGTGAACTTTTGCTGCGACAGAAAGGCAGATGGTTTTCTTTATATATATATATTAAATCGTTGTGGTGTAATGTGATAGTATAGTACTTGTCAATTTAGCATAATTTTGAGCACTTTTCTTTCCGGATCCGTGAGCCTTTTATAACTTTATTTGTCATTTACTTATACAACTGTTTACAAAAAATCCTACTGTTTACAAACTTTTGTGTTACATACTTAATTAATAGGTGTCTTCTTATTAACTCAATAACTGTTACACAATAGAGATTTTTGCTGTCAATAGACAACTTGCATGTTAGACAAATTTTTGATCTAACCGATCTAGGCAAAAAAAAAGTAAATTCCCGTTAAGAACTTATTAAAATTAGTAAACTTGCAAAATTTGGTTGCGAAATGTTGTAAAGCTTGGAAAATATAGCCTTGCAAAGGTTGCATATTTTCAGTATATTTGTATTACGTGCGGAAATTGTTACCATTTTTGAGCCGAAAATGGTAACAATTTCCGCTCGTAATACAAATATACTGAAAATATGCAAACTTTGCAAGGCTATATTTTCCAAGCTTTACAACATTTCGCAGCCAAATTTTGCACTTTTACTAATTTCAGTATGTTCTTTTTAGCTGTGGTGTTTGATTCCCTTTTCTATGCTTAGATTAAAATTTAGTCTAACATGCAAGTTGTCCATTGCACTAGCTAGAATTAGCATTTTAATAATAGCACATCCTTTTAATTTTTAAACTAGGAGAATAGTTTCGTGAAGAAATTTATTTATCTTATACCATAAACTTCCGATTATAAGTCCCCGAATATAAGCGGCCCGACGTCTATGACCCCGTCACATTACTAACGTTCACACCATTCGATATACTAGCCCGTAATCATAATCAGAAGTTTATGGTATAAGATAAATAAATTTTCTCACGAAACTATTATGTGCTATTATTAAAACGCTAATTCTAGTGCAATTGACAGCAAAAATCTTTATTGTGTAACAGTTATTGAATTAGTAAGAAGACACCTATTAAGTGTGTAACACAAAAGTTTTGGAAACAGGTAGGATTTTTTTGAATTGTTGTATAAGTAAATGACAAATAAAATTATTAAAGGCTCACGGATCCGGAACTTAGAAAAGTGGGCAAAATTATGCTAAATTGACAAGTACTATCAAATTACATCATATGGCCTCACGATTTAATATATAAAGAAAACCATCTGCCTTTCTGCCGCAGCAAAAATTCAGTAACTATGGTTTGACGTACGCATTGTTTTTGCAATTACACTCTAAATAAAATGTATCGATTATTTATAATGCGATTATTAGGAATTTTTAAAATATAATTTTTGCGTCTCTAGCAATTCAATCTGCGCTATAAAAGTCAATTAATTTAAGACAATCAAGCGAATATACGCGAATATTATGGTGAATATACGGCCTCCAATACAGCACAGTTTACTGACTAAGATGCGGCGAATTCGATCCTCGGCTTGCGTCATGTGATATGTTCTAGAGGTCTGGACACGAATGGATTTGGCCGGGGGGTTATCTTGTGTTAGCTTAATTAATATTGGCGGAGATTTGACGCTATCGTTCAACTCCGCCAATATTCAACATGTGGTAATTTTTTTCAACATATTTTGAACGTTGAAGTTGTGATGGGTGCTAAATTCGCGGCATGTTCATTGTCCGGTTTAACTTCAATGTCAAAAACACATGGGTGTTCAATGTCATATTTAACTTCAATGTCGAAAATATGTTGAATGTTTTGCATGTTCAATGCCAGATTTATCTTCAATGTCGAAAGCACGTAGGTGTTGAATGTCCTATTTAACTTCAATGTCGAAAATATGTTGAATGTTCTGCATGTTCAATGTCAGATTTATCTTCAATGTCGAAAGCACGTAGGTGCTGAATGTCCTATTTAACTTCAATGTCGAAAGCATGATATACATGAATATTGGCGGTGATATGACGCCATACCGGAGCATGGTGATCGGCAGTCATGACTTTCCCTGCTTTTTCCAGGTTGCGGTAAACCTGCTTTTCCGCCGATCATAAGCAATTTCTTGCCGATCATTGATCGGTGATCGGCTGTTATTTCAAGCTCTATCTTAACAATTTTGAATTAATACTGATTTCAAATGAGTAAAGCCATGTAATAATTATCCCATGCAACTGTTAGGAAGGGCGAAATTTTTAACGGAGGAAACAAATCCTAAAAGAAAGGTGAAGTTTCTAAAGGGGGGCGAATTTCCTAAAGGGGGCGATTTTCCTAGGAATTTCGCCCCCCCGCGGGAGGGCGATATTACTAAGAATTTCGCCCCCCCCCCCCTGGGGTGCGAAATTGTAGGGGGTGCGAAATTCCTGGGACTACCGGTCTGTAGTTTCCCACTTTCCCGTTGTAAACAGACCGTGGTCGTGGTGACGTCTCAAATTCCCGTGGGATATTAATTATTCATTTTCCCCCTTAAATATTATAAATCTCGTTGTATGAATAGCCGTCGTCGTCACGTTGCCGTCCCACATCGTAAGGTCTCTACTAAACGCGTGAGCGAACATAATTAGACTTGCTAAAAAGAAAATTATACAAGTTGTTATTTGCTGCGAGGGAGAGCTCAAGCTCGCTCGGTTCATTTTAGCAAGTAAGGTGAATTTTTCGGCTAGTCGGACCTAACTGGTCGGATCAACAGAGTAACAGAACATCGCAAATACAACAAGATATATCAGGATTGACAAACGTTTTCAAAAGAAGATATAGAAGAACATCAAGTAGACAAATAGTGACTAACTCGACACGCTTGAATAAATATATCATATCACATAATTACGCCATATTCCAGCGTCGCGCGTTCTTTGTCTTTTGCTGTTTGATAGTCCTTCAAATTTATTGGTAAATAAACATTGAATAGCCCAGTTCACACGAATGAGATAAGCATAAGCATAAAAAAGACAAAAGGGAAATAAAAGAAATGCAATGAAGCATGCGACATAACTCTACAACTACGTATAAGCTAACTGCTTAAAGGAAACACTTTTCATTTCAAATAAAAAATCTGTCCGCTTTCTCTTTGCAAGTTTTTCTTTTGTATTCCTGCTTATGCGTATCTCGGTGAACCAGGCTTTAATATATGCGCGCAGTGTCGCGCTTCTGACATAATATAAACACTGTTTAAAACGATGCTACGAACTACAAACATGAAAATATAATCACAACAATGCTTCGTTGTTGCTAGAAAAGCACGCATATGCTGGACAAACTCACCATTGTGTTTTAAATACACTGCACGGTTTAAAAGACTCGCTTTTCTAGACGGATTCTTCGAAATATCAAGCTATATACGCTAACCGTTCGACCAAGAGGACGATTTGCGATTATTCCTCATCACTTAGACATATACAATATACTCAGTTGGAGGCGAGTCGAGCCTCGAGTGCTCTTCCTTCGTGACAAATACCTTATAGTCTTATGTAATATGATCTTCGACTTTTACTTACGAAATCGCAAAGCGCTGTGGTACGGTGGATCAATTTTCCATGATTTACTGATTTTCTATCACGATCAGTCAGCAATTTCGTTTGAGCATAAATCTGTAAATTTACTGTACAGCACAGCTTATGTAAATTTTTGTGGTTGAATAATGTATATGTGACAAAATTGTATGACAAAATAAGCCTGAATAATAAATGTGCGATGCTATCACAATGATCGATCAATATTCATTTGAAAGAACCATGAATAATGAATAGTTTGTGAATGAATATTTCAACACCCAAAGCCAAACTTCATTCCATCTATTGTATAGACTATAGAGCGTTTGCACATGGCGTCACAGCCGCCATGTTGGTGTTCCAATTCAAAAGAATTTTAATTAGACTTTTCTGGAATACCAACATGGCCACCATGGCTTTTGTTGAGAGTTGGGGAATGAGTGCAAACGCTCTACTGTATACAGTGTGTATAAATAGAGAATAATACATGGGTGCGCGGAAATACCAGATTTATTTCGAGTGTTGAACATGAACAAAAGCGATAATTGAAAAGCGATAATTTTCACATGTGAGACTATTATCATAAATAATCTCACATGTGAGATTATCACTTTTATCGGTGCTCGAAATCTCTATAAAGCACTATACTTTATATAATAAAAAAAGGTAATCGAACTTCAGCGCTCTATTGTACGTGAATTATTCGGCGTATGAACAAAATTTTTTCATATTCGGAAAGATCAGGCTTTTAGCTATTGAATGACATGTTTTCATGCCAAGTGCATGGAGAAAAAATAAGCAAGTACGACTGTACCAGTCCGATAAAAAATGTAAGTCAGAATCGCGTATTTTCACTTCTGTGTCTAATTAAAGTAGTGCATAACAAAACAAAAAGCAATTAATCACGAACTCGTCATAGCTTAGCTAAGATTTATTCTTACTTATGAATATGTGCGCGCTCGTAGTTTATTGAAGTGAAATTCATCAACTTAAGTCCCAAAGGGGGTTCATTTTCAATGGTTTTAGACCCAACTCTCAACAGTGAAAATATGCGATTCTGACTAACATTTTTTATCGGATTCGTATTTGCTCATTTTTTATCCATTTGGCATGAAGAAGATATCATTCAACAGCTAATTAAAGCATGATCTTTCCGAATGTGAAAAAAACTCGTTCATACGCAGAGTAATTCAGATACAATAGCGCGCTGAAGTCACTTCGATTACCTTTTTTTTATACACCCTGCATGTACAGGGTGTCTCAAAAAAACCCAAAATCATTGAAATTGACGTATTGTTCGATATTCAATGCCCTAGCACTAAGTTAATCCCACGAGTGCATAAAAGATTGACATAACTGCTATAATGAATGGTAATACTCAGCGTAAACTTGTTATGTCAGGCATAAAGTACTAAACCCACGAATGCATATTACGCATATTACAATTTACGAAGCATTTTAAATTCCCATGAGCAAACAAACGTTCACTTTACAAAGATATTTTAATTTTTTAAAACAAATTAATCACCCTGTCAAAATCCTTTGTGTTACGGCATTGAAATTCGAACAATACGTTATTTCAATGATTTTGGGTTTTTTTGAGACACCCTGTATATTAGTACTAAGTATTTTAATACATCTATTAAAGTGCCTATCATAGCCTATGGCTATGAAATGAAATTTTTTAATTTTCGGGGAAAATAAAACAGTCCGCCACAAATGGGATATGTACGGCCATTCGGCAGGATCAGAAGAGGCTCATAGTCATAGACATATTGGCGAATTCGTTCAGTATTCGAACTGTTAAGCCAGTTTCCACTTCAATCGTACCAAAGCGTAGCTTATTTCTTTGTTTCCTGAGCACTAGAGTGGAACTAATGACTTCGACACAAAAGAAAATGCTACGATACGTTACGATACGGTTGTGGAAAACAGGCTTAAAACCACTTCAACCGTATCGTAACGTACCGTAGCATTTTCTTTTATGTCGAAGTCATTACTTCCACTCTAGTGCTCTGCAGGAAACAAAGAAATACGCTACGCTTTGCTACACTCTAAAAACACTCTGGTTAAATTCAACCAGGAACTGGATCAATAAACTACCTAGCACATTCCTGGTTAAATTAACTGATTTCCTGGTTAAAAATTATTGATTCAACAAAAGACTTTTAACCAGGAAAATGGTTTAATTTTTTTAACCAGGATTGTGTAGGTGTATTTTTAACCCCATCCTGGTTGAATTAACCCAAATTTAACCAGAGTGTTTTTAGAGTGTACGATACGGTTGAAGTAGAAAACCGGCTTTACTGTTAGCTGGAACCGGTGTCACAGGAATTTCGCCCCTCCCCCAGGAGATTCTCCCCCCTCTCAAAGAGATTCTCCCCCCTCTCGCCCTGGGGGGCGAATATCCTAGGAATATCGCCCCCTTTAGGAAGTTCGCCCCCCTCCCTATGTGCGATGTGGTTTATTCAAATAATTTCGTGATACTTTGATCTTATTTATAGTGCCTTACACGTTTGAGAATGTAACTCCGCAAAACCAAAAGCTTTTTTTGTCTTTTTTGAAACGTATTATTGGAGTATTGGCAAGTTTTACCATTCAGAGATTTACAAGCTATTATTGAAATAATGCAAGTAAAAAACAGTTTCATATACGCGCATTCACTAATGTCAATGAGTAATAACAACTTATAAGCCATACATTTTCCGATATATGAAATTCGATCAATTCCATCATCAGAAGTTGTCAATACAATAATGATGTGCTTCAGTGTTTACAACATAACCATAGGAAAATAACACGCTGAGGCGAAGGCAACCAAGTTCAAATTTGGCAAATGTGCAGTTACTGACTACTGTTTTAAAATAATAACAATGAAACTAAACGTATTTCTCAGTTCCATAAATACGATAGTAAATTTATCGCTTTGCCAATAGCTGATGTGGTGGTATAGACCTAAATACGATAACACGATCTATATATAAGAATTACCTATAAACCAATTCAATTATTTTCAATCAGTGACAATTAATGTAAATGAATAATTTTGTGAATACTGCATCGGTAGAGACAAGTAGATTTTTAGTGCTCTTTATAATGAAATTAAACAGTTTGATTATAAAAAACATATACTGTAGTTTATGCATCACATGGCATGTGTCATATATTGTCGGTTTTGACCGAATACCAATAATTACAACTGAACCACCACGGTGATTACTTTTTAACAATGAATTTAAGGATAACACCGAAAATGCAAAATATGCATGGTGTGCTGTGCTGTGCTGTGAAGCGAACGATAATGTAATTGTAAATTTGCCGTATTCTTAACTGATTTTGAATTGATACTGATTTCAAATGACTAAAGCGGCATGTAGTAAAACACTGACTACTGGAACACCGGAACACCACCGGAACACCGGAACACCACCATTTTGTTTGGGGTTAGGGTTTGGGGTTAGGGTTGGGGGTTAGGGTTCGGGGTAAGGGTTGGGGTTAGGGTTAGGTGGTGTCCCGGTGTTCTGGTGGTGTTCCGATGGTGTTCCGGTGGTGTTCCGGTGTTCCGGTAGTCAGTGTTTTACTACATGCCGACTAAAGCCATGTAATATTAATTACCCTGTGCCACTGTTAGGAAGTGCGAAGTTTTGAACGGAGGACGAATTCCGACGAAAATCCTAAGGGACGGACCATTTTTTTTTTTGAGGGGGGGGGGGGAAATTCTTAAAAAAATTGTTTGCGAAGACAAAAAAGTGCAAATAAATTGTTTGCACACATAAAGAAGAGGAAAAAAATTGTTTGCAAGCTGAGATTATGCAACATCAACTAAAGTTTAATACAATGAACATAGCGCTCACCGACATACCCAGGGTCTTCACCCCAAAAGCCCTGGGATGGGAGACGCTGGGCACATGTCACAATCTACTGATATGGGTTATAAATATTAATCTATTGAATACAGTCATTTTTTGGGTTATTTTTTTCTGTTCTTTTTTTGTATAAAATAGGTAATTGGACAAGTACTGGTGTAAGACATTGTGTGGCGTAAATAATGAGAGGACCATAACAAGGCCATTTTTAACATACAAGGCGGAAGGGGGGGGGGGGGGG